TTGGCTTAAGCTATTGTAACCAAACTTGGTGCTTCTGTTCGGATGCTCCGACCAAGCTTTGCTGAGCAGTCCTGGGGTATTCTTCCACTAGGGGGTGCCAAACAAATGCAAAAAGTTTATAGCTATTAATTTGCTGCATTGATTCGTACAAAATTCAGTTTGTACAATCTAGGGTCACTACTCAGTTGATCCATAAAATTTAGTCATGATTGCTTAAAATGGGCCTTGCTTATTACAACAAATTTAAATTTCTAGGCTTTCTAGTCCAAATTCAGGCTTATAACACCAGTTTCTGAAAATATATTCCTGACAGACTCAACAGACAGACAGCCTTTATCTCAGTAGTGATAAACCCGAAAAACACGAGTGCTGCTACAACTACAGAGACTGAATAAAGTAATCCAAGTAATCATCAGATGAAGCTCTTGAAAACTCATCACTTTCTCTTATAACACCTCTAACCCCTATCCTTGAACATGCACTTCCTGTGCTCTTCTTCTATCTCCTTACAATTCTTGTATTGATTGCATCATTTCGTTAACTTTCCCTAGATATTTACCCCATTGATGCCCTACATGCTATTAGCTTTTTCTTCTGTTTCTATTTTGTGTGTTTTTCTCTGGAGTGTATAATTGCCATGCACTGCTTATATACCACAGACAGGCTCTTCCGGACAGAGCCAACACACACAGTCATTTTGGATTTACTGGTTTTATGCCACCGGAGCTACAACACATTGTTCGCTTCCAAGGCCACCACCACTCCCAGGAAGGCCCTGAAGCACCTAGCTTGACTGAACAAGCTGACCCAAGGAGTGCGCAACGGAGGCAGCGATGTAAGTACGGTAAGAAGGGAGGGATTTATGCTAGACTAAAAGCCAGAGCTAGCCGACCTCCGCTACCCAGTCTCCTGCTAGCTAACGTGTGATCGCTGGAAAATAAACTGGACAAGCTCAGAACCGGGATTACAGTTCAACGGGAAATGCGAGAGTGCTGCGCTCTAATTTTCACCGAATCCTGGCTCTCAGATAGCGTCCCAGAAAACGCCATTCAGCTACAGACTCACTGTGTGCACCAGGGAGACCGGACCGCAGCCTCTGGTAAGACCACAGGGGGAGGTGTGTGTGTATTCATCAACAACTCGTGGTGTGGGGATATACGGACTGTTTATAAACACTGTTTGCCAGATGTGGAGTTTTTACTGCTGAAATGCCAGCCCTATTATCTACCAAGGGAATTTACTGCTGTATTTCTAGCCGCTGTTTACATCCGCCCGCGAGCTAACTCTATGGCAGCGCTCAGCAGTCTCCACAACGCTTTAGAAACGGCTCACCCTGATGCCGACTTCAACCAGTGCAACCAACGGACTGTATTCCCTAAATACTACCAACACGTAGACATTCCCGACCGTGAAAAGGATACTCTGGCTTTTGTTTACAGCAACATACGTGGTGCATACAGAGCTGCACCCTGCCCCCACTTCTTGCACTTGCAAGACTGAAACAAGACAAACCCTGCCACCAAACAAGTCAAACTCTGGATTCCAGAGGCTGAGAGCACCCTCTTTTGCTCAAACATACTGGGATGTGTTTCTGGAGGCAGCCACTCAGGAGGACACTTTTATTCTTCTGCTGACCCCGGGCAGATGTGGCAAAGCCTGCAGCACATCACCGACTACAAGACCACTAAGACCATAACAGTCTCACCTGGCCAAGTACACATGACCCCTGAGTAACATCAACCCCCGCAAGGCAGCAGTACCTGACAACATTCCTAGGCGGGCACTCAGAGCATGTGCTAATAAGCTGGCAGATGTTCCCTCCTCCATCTTCAACCTCTCTTTCAGCCAGAACACCGTACCTTCCAGCTTTAAAACAACAACTATCCGTGCCTTCCTCCTCTAAAAGAACCCACCTGACTTCTGAATGACAGGCCAGTAGCTCTCACTCCAATCACAATGAAGTGCTTTGAGAGAACGGTGCTGGCCCACATTCAGAGCAAAATACCAGACACCCTGGACCCGATGCAGTACACCTACCGGCCCAACAGGTCAACCTCCAACACCATCGCTGCTGCCCTCCATTGCTCCCTCTCCCACCTGGAAAACAAAGACTCCTACATCAGAATGCTGATTGTTGACTACAGCTCTGCTTTTAATACAGTAAAACTCACCCACAAACTGTCTGAACTTGGACAGCACCCCACACTCTGCGACTAGCTCCTGGACTTTCTGACTGCCAGGCCCCAGTCAGTCAGGATCTGCAACAGAACCTCAGCCTGTGCTGCCTCCCACAAGGACAACATCATAACGAAGTTCACGGACAACACAGCAGTGATAGGACATATCACTGGCGAGGAGGAAGCGGCCTACAGGAGGGAGGTGACCAGCCTGGTGGCATGGTGCGAGGACAACAACCTCACCCTTAATACTGACAAAAATGAAGCAGGTAATAGCGGACATGAGGAAGGAGAGGAGACCTCATCAGCCACTATTCATCCTGGAGCTTGAGGTAAAGAAGGTGAGCAGCCTCAAATATCTGGGCGTCCACATCAGCGACGACCTCACTTGGACACTGAACCCTACTCAGCTGGTCAAGAATGCTCAACAGTGGCTGTACTTCCTGAGGAGACTAAGGAAGTTTGGTATGTCACCTAAAATTCTCAGCAACTTCTACAGGTACACTGTTGAGAGCACTACTGCAATGGACCGCAAGCGCCTGCAGAGAGTGGTGAAGACAGCTGAAAAGATCACCAGGACTCCACTGCAGAGCATCTACCATCAAAGTCCACAGGATTATCAAGGATACCAGCCACCCCCAGCACGAACTATTTACACCCTCGGCTCTGAGGTACAGAAGTGTGAAATGTAGGACTACATGACTGAATAACTCTTTCTTCCCCACTGCCATCAGACTCCTAAACAGTTAATAGGCATGTGGACTCCATAATCATGCCCATCTTTACACTGTACCATGACATGTTAATTGCACTATTTTTGCACACCTGCACATTGCTCCATGCACAATTTCCGCATGGATATAATTTATCAGTTGCACTGTTTAATCCGTCTGCCCGCACAACGACGAACTGTATGTATGTCTTTTTTTTTTTTTTACATCTGATGTTTACACTTTTTATATTTGAAGCTTATTTTATATCTTTATTTATCATATATTTTCATTGTATTTTTATTTATACATATTTCATTTTACATTTATTGTTTGATGTGGACAGCAAAGTAAGAATTTCTGTGTACTGAATCTTGAATCTATTGTGACTTGTAGATCTCTTACTATGTTGATGCTTTACTGATTATGTTGTTCGTCAAATTTAAGTTGCTTTGGATAAGAGCATCTCTCAAATAAGTAAATGTAATGTTTGCAAACTATTACAATAAAAACAAAATTCTCTTTGCAACAGGATCATAACACAAACAAGAATGAGGTTCATGTTCAGTCTTGTAAATATAGCAAGTTTGTAGTTCATGATGCAAAAGCTGTGTGTTTAAAGAAATATTAGGTCTTACAGTCTGTTATGTAGAATTATTTACAAAACATATCTGAGAAGACTGTCAGGACAGACAGACTCAATAAACAGGACCTGAACACAACGAGCATCCTGTATATAGAAACAATTGTGTGGAGTTGTTAAAGATGTTTTATTGGCTGTCAGTTTTCACCTGAAGGAGCCTAACCTGAGACAGCTCCAGTATCAGCACTCTGGACAGCTGCTGTGACAAATACTAGAGATAATCAAAAAGAAAGTTTTAATGAAAATAGTCAATCGATAACATTATCTAATCTATAAGTACTTCATGTTCATCTCTTCTCCAGATGCTCCAAAGCTTCCCTCTGTGTCAGTGAGTCCCTCTGCTGAGATAGTGGAGGGCAGTTCAGTGACTCTGACCTGCAGCAGTGATGCTAACCCAGCAGCTAAATACACCTGGTACAAGGAGAACCAAACTCTGCTCAGTGAAGAACCACAGCTTGTCTTCAGCTCCATCCAGTCCTCTGACTCTGGAGAGTATTACTGTGCAGCTGAGAACCAGCTGGGGAGGAAGACAACTAAATACATCATTAATGTGAAATGTGAGTGGAACAGTTTATTTTAAAATAAAACACAGCTTAAATCTGTCCAGTCTTTGCAGGAGAAGATTTTACTTAAACTTTTATGTCAGCAATAATGGCACAGTGCTGTTGACATGGAAGAGAGGCTAAATATATTATTAGCAGGAGGAACACAGAATCAGCAGGTGTAGTAGGAGCAAGCCTCAGTATCATCCAATCATCAGTACTTCTCAACCGCTTTTGATAACATTGTTGAATTGAAGTTGAATTTAGGTTTCAGTTCTGTTGATAGGTCTGTCTGTCAGATGCCAAATTACATCTAAGCAGGAGAATGGGAAACTCCCGGTAATAATCGCCTGGACACAATGGAAAAATATTTTGACTCTTTAGAGGAAATATTTTCATTGGGACATTGAGATTACAGCTTTAATGGTTTGGGAGTAATTCAACATGCAAATGCCTCTCTTGTCCATTCTGATATAGTAAAACATGTTAATATTGTATTTTCACTTAATGTCATAGTTAGTTACTACACAGTTTCTCCCTTACTATGTTGAACCTGCAGCACAGCAAATCAAGCACATTAATAGATAGCTCATCAGATAAATTATGACATCCTGTTATCGTAATCTGTTATTAATATTTCTATTTGGTGTCCCTCCCAGTAGGTAGCACTAAAAACAACAACCTTGTTTGCCTTAAACTTTCCATACATGTTCTCCCCAGATGCTCCAAAGCTTCCCTCTGTGTCAGTGAGTCCCTCTGCTGAGATAGTGGAGGGCAGTTCAGTGACTCTGACCTGCAGCAGTGATGCTAACCCAGCAGCTAATTATACCTGGTACAAGGAGAATGAAGACTCACCAAAAGCATCAGGACAGAACTTCACCATCACTGACTTCAGAGCTGAACACAGTGGGAATTATTACTGTGAAGCCCAGAACAGAAGAGGACGTCATAACTCCACCTTACATCTGACTGTTGTGGCAGGTATGTTTGTCTTTGAGCATCACCTCGCAAAGTGATTTACAAATCAGACCCTACCAGTAAGGTTCCAGCACAGTTTAACTAATAACTGAATCTCCATTTCTAGAGAAATCAACAATGATAATAAATATCATCAGGTTGACTCTAGTGGTTGTGACGCCGATTCCTCTGCTTCTGTTCTGTCTGTGGATGAGGTGAAACTATAAGAATGAACCAGTTCATTACTGATCTTTTACTTTGAATATTTACTTTGCTAGTTTTGGAGTTGTCAATTAAAATATTTGTTTATTTGTTTTTTGATTTAAATCAGGAAGAAGAAAACTCTGAGCTACACCACGGAACCAAAGGAACCGATAGAGACTATAGAGGTGAGAAAGCTGCTGGGCTACAGTGACAGAACTTACTCTACCAGGGTTGTAATTTGTTGGCTTATACATTCAGAGGTAAAGAGCGATTTAAGGAAACAAATTTGGTTTAAACATGTCTGGGTATATTTTAATATAAAATCTAACTGTATCCAAACCATTTCTGAGGCCTTTGACTCTCATCTTGTTTTTTTCCCCATCAGTTGGAGTCTGATTGTCCAATGCCTAAACCTTGAATCAAAAAGGAATGTGAATTTCTTCAGAAGTACAGCGTTGAAGTACTCCAGTGGAGAACAGGGGGATATGGAGGAACTCCAAATATTTTACTTTTTACTTTTTATTAGCAGCACAGGTAGTCAGCAATAGCATAGCAGAGGATTTAAGTAGAATGTAAGCTGTAGTTTTACCTGTCCAGGTACATTACATACGCTCAGGGTTTAACATATTATGAATATTAAATAAATGGTATTTTTACTTTTTATGTAATAATTTGCTTTTATGAAAAACTGATTGCCCTTTCACATTACACCTGTCCTGGCAGAGAAAGTCAATAAAGTCTTTTCAAAACCAATCCTTCTCACTCTTCAGTCGTCACATATAGACCATAGACCGTATATAAAAGTTTGGCCGGTAGGGCGCCGCCATATAGATTTTTTTTGCAACGTGACCATATTTGGACTAAACGGTGGAGCTAATGGCCGTGTGTGGAGCTTCTTAGCTGTCTTAGCTAGGGGCATCTGTAATTCACGTTAACAGGACTGACAATTTTGTCTTGCGAACAACAGTCTAAAACTAGATGTACTCACCAGAGAAAGTGAACAGCCAACTCCTAATACGCTTTTTCAACAGCGCTGGTTAAATTTACACAGTACCATCGGTACGAGTCACTCTAACCTGATTGACAGGTCGCCATCACAGATGATCCCACCCTGAAAGCATACTCTGCTTTATGGTCTATTTTCCTCTAAATGGGACCATAATTTACTAAATGAACATTATGTTATATTGAAGAAGACTTCAAACTAGCGATTGAGACCATAAACTCATTAGGAAAGTGTTTACTGAGGAATAAATAAGCTGAGAAGTAGCCTCATTTTACCTTATTACATTATTTCTAATGGAGCCGGAATTCATTTTGCAACCAGAAGAGTCGCCCCCTGCTGGCTATTTGATAGAATGCAGGTTTAAGGGACTTCCACATTCGATTTGCATATCAGACTGGAAGCTTCCCGCTTGATATAGACGCATGGTGAAGACCTCTTGGTGTCAGTTTACTGTACTGTGAAGCCCCTTATCATCATAGTTCAACACACGGGGAATCCCTGTGTGATTCATCAACACTAAAAGCAGGTGTACGATATAAATAAAAAGTCCTAGTAAGGAGGTGGTTGGGGCTGGCTGGTGTGCGAAGCCAGTGTTTGTTTACTGTGTGAAACAACATTAATGGTTTTTAGTAAAGTTAAGTAGGTTACGTAGCTATTTTTACCCAAACTATGACGTTTTCCTGAACCTAAGCAAATACTTTTGGTGGCTAAACTTAACCAAATTGCAATGTTTCACAATGTAAATCCTGTGCTGTTTCACAACGTTAACCACAAATTTTATTTTGAAAGTCTAACCAGATGTTGCATATTTATTGTTGCTAACTTGTTTGTAGAGCCCTACACATCAAAATTATACTAACAGAGTAGGAATACTTCTAAGGATTGTGATTATGGCTAGGAAAGTGAGATGAGACATGAAATGATATATACAGCTGCTGGTCATATAATTAGAATATCATCAAAAAGTTGATTTATTTCAGTAATTCCATTCAAAAAGTGAAACTTGGATATTATATTCATTCATTATACACAGGCTGATATATTTCAAATGTTTATTTCATTTAATTATGATGATTAAAACTGACAACTAATGGGGTGTTGTGAGCTGAAATCCACAAACAGTATTCTAATGTAGGTGTGTGAGGGAGCAGATCTGTAGAGAGCAGGGATACATCTTTTCAAACAAGAAGAATTAATTGTGCTTCCTGATATTCTCTGTGTTACAGTGGTGCAGGGTCTGAATAACTCGGGAGAGGCTTATACTGAGATCTGTGCCCTAAAATCACTTGAAAAAGCATTATCAAGAGCTGACTCAGAATATGCAGGTCATGTGGACTCTCACTGTGATAAAAACGACTGCACTCTAAGAATCACAGACCTGAGAGAGAGGGGATGAACCAGAATTGGTTTACCCTGTGTTAACTTCAGCCATTTTAGCTACTGAGTGAAGCATCACACTTAAATTTGATCCTTGTTTGGAGTTGCGCTTGCGCAGTACCTATTTAAGGACTCCTGGCCAATCAGAAGCAGAGTAGGGCTGGTCCTGACAAGCTGGTAACAAAGCTTTCGGTTCAGCTGTTCCCAAACCAGCTTTGCAACATAGACTGGAGCAAGAGTTTCAGTAGTAAGTTTTGAATTTGTAACAAATTGATCTTTCATATAACATTTTAACTATGTGCACTGTCTCTACATCACAGTAACAACTTTATTTGCATTGACTGCCTAATGTTTGGTAGTGAGGATGGCTGTGGGGGGAGGCAGCGAGTGGACGTTTGTGTGCTGCAGCTCAGTGTGTTTCTCCACCATTGTTTTTGAGGGCGTGCCTGGCTAGCCGCTAGGATTCACCTTACTTGTGGGGTCCAAACCAGCTTTGTAGGGACCAAAATGTGGGACCACAGAGGTTTAAAGAACTATTTGAGGGTTCAAGATTTGGTTTTCGGGTTCAGGTTAGAATTGGTTAAGGGCAGTTGTGACGGTTAAGGTAAGGATAAGGGGCTAGGGAATGCTTTATGTCAATGAGATGTAAGCAACATGCATTTCTTATTAAGCTCTACAGTAACACATTCTGCTCTGTTACTGCTGTGAAAGATGGAGCTGGACCAGTGCAGTATAACGTCAATACACTATATTTTTAAAAAGTTACTGCACGATTTGCAAAACAACTGTAAGAATAATAAAGATTATAAGAACAATACTAATAACTTCAGTCATTTCAACTTGAGGACTTGAGATTTACAGACATTCATCTGTTTATGCATGTTAATAATGTAATGAGGAAGAAAGTCAGGGCGGCTTTTAACACCTCAATGTCTGTTTTAACACAAGTGTACCAAGCACAGAGACAAACTGTCTTCAAAGACAACATTGGCCCATTTTCATTAGAAATGTTTATTGTGACTAACTGACATACAGGATTTCTCATGTATCTGATCTACCTGCTGATTTAACAGATGTGAGGAGCAGCTATGAGTTTACCAGCAGCAGCGAGTGGATTTGTGGTCTTCCTTCTCTCTGTACAAGGTACTGGACATCTACATTTCTATTATATTATCACACTCAGAATCAGAGGAAGGTTTTTTTTAGGAAATAACATTTGACGTGCGATGATTTGCAATGTGGTGTGATCCCTGCAACACATGATGTAGGAGCCAAATGTTTGTTCAATTTTTGTTTGGTCACTAGGTGGTGCTCTAGGCTCAACTATATAAGCGAGGGGGCAACAGGTAGTCGTCAGGTGTTGACCCCGGAAGGGCAAACAAGTTTTTGACTGCTATGGCGGAGTTTGTTTGAATGCTGTTGCCGTGTTATTTTTTGAGTCTTCGTGCTTGTGGACTTTGTGCACCTTTCGTCTGTGTGGAGGACAATAAATTGGTGATATTGCAACGACTATGATCCGAAATCCCTGGATTAATGAACATGAGACGACCTTTCAGACCCTCATGGTTTTGTTTTTTTGGATAAAACATGTTTATTTTTGATATATGACCCAAGTGAATTTCCAGGCTCTTGGCTCTTTTTACTACGTCGTTCTGAAGCCTGGTCCTGTATTAGTTTTGATTATTGAAGAACGTTTATGTGGGATGTAGCTCAACATAGTCCTTGGAAAAATCATACTTAACTACTGACCAACAATTTAAAATACACTTTTTTTGTCTTTTGATAAAGAAGTTGGGACACAGCAAATATGGTCTTAAGTTTCCACCATGTAACACTATTTTTATTTTAAGGTGCAATTGGTGCTCAGTATAACATTGTTTGTTTGCTTGTTCCCTAATACTTCATAAGCCTTTTTATTCTTGAAAATGTCATTGTCTATAGTTTCTTAAACGCCAGGGGGTTAAGAAATATAACTAAACGTAAAGCTTTATATTCATTTGTTAAACAGCTGAACACAGATTTTTCATTTTGTCAGGAATCTCACTCAAACTCAAAGGAGGAGAATTTTTGGAGATCCCAGTGGGGGAACGATTTATGGTTTTCTCACTGCTCAGAAAGATCAGCTGGAGTCTTAACATTTCACACAGAGATACAGATCCAAAAGGTCATTTGATCTGCCAAGTGGTTGGTTACAACAAGATTGTTTAAATCATTTTCAACATCTATGGGTACAATTCTAATTTAGAAAATATCCAATTATTTGTTAAAATAGAAAATAGACTAAAGCATTGGCTAACAAAATTTCCAAATTCTCACATTTTACTTGGAGGAGACTTTAATGTTACTCTAAATTCTGAGATTGACAGATGGCCACCTACAAAAGATAACAATAGAAATGCTTATTTTAAGCTTTTTATGGACAGGTATGATTTAACTGACGTATGGAGAACTAAATTCCCGATATAGTTTCTTTCTGAATAGACTTCTGGTTAGTATCAAAAAGTATTAAAGAGCCGGATATCTCAGTTAACATTCTTCCCTGTCCCTTAAGCGATCATAAAGCAGTATTCATTTCTATTAAATTATTTTCAGATAATGCTTATAAAGCCAGTTACTGGAAACTAAATAATTCTCTTCTTAAAGTGGTGAGGTTAAACAGAAAATCCCACAGCTGATTAAATATTTTTTTAACAAAGCTGTGGTGGAAAATTTGTTTAGTGTTAATTGGGAGTTATTTAAATATGAATCAGCAAAATGCCTAACGAAGCTTGGTAGAAATCTTGCTAAAATGAGAAAATTAGAGGAACAAAGAGTTTTCACAGGCATTTCGGTAATGTCTCAAATATCACCAGACGTCTTAACAGAGGAGGAGAAAATAGAAATTAATCTACAAGAGAGCCTGGATAAAATATATAAAAATAAGGCAGAAGGAGCTTTTATAAGGTCTCGGAAACAGTGGTTAGAAGAAGGGGAACAGAATTCTTCATACTTCTTCAAACTGGAAAAGTATCATGCAAAGTTGAATACCATTAATGAGTTAAAAATTGGCAACTCTATAAGTGATGATCAGCATTTAATATCTCATTTTTGTTCCTCCTTTTATGAAAAATTATATACCTCCAGAATATTCTGACGATGATGCTTCAATGTTCCTCAATTCTCTACAAAATACCCCTCGACAACTCAGAGAGGGATTTTTGTGACCTCCCCTTATCCCTGGCAGAAGTCAGTCAATGTTTAGAACTGTAAAAGACGACAAGTCCCCTTGGACAGATCGTCTGAATTTCATAAATTGTTTTCCCAGCAGATGGTGCCCTTCTTACTGCAGGTATTTAATGAAAGTATGAAAGCCAAAACCTTACCATGGAGT